ATGCATATTTTTCAAGTTAATTTCTGTTTCTGTTTTTGTTTTTGTTTTTGTTTTTGTTTTTGTTTCTAACTACATGTTTGGTTAATTTTTGTTTCATATTCTATTGTTTATTTTAAATAGTGATTTTGTTTTATTCTAAATAATGGATATGAAGGTGCATTTGTTTGCTTAATTATGCAGATTTGTGGTTACATGATAAATGTTGTATTTAATTTAACATGCATAATAATGTAAAAATTGTGTAGTATATGTATTTAAGGAAACAATTGTTATTATGTTATGTTGTGAAGATGGTAGTTTTCAAGAAATAATCAATAGTCTTTTTAAAACATTATGCATGAATGGTTTCATTTTTCAACTGTACAAAGCAATGTGCATTGAAAAACATATTACAAAATAATTTAATATAGATTCAATTATAAATTATTTATTGTAAACTTTATTAAATTTGTAATGTAATGATTATTTTGAAATATGTTAACTGGATATCAATGTTGATTTAGTATTTCAACCGTAGTTGGACCCCCGCACTATTCAATCATGGCTCCGCCCCTGCCCATCGAGCACTTCTTTGCAAACAAAAGTACTATTATCAAACGACCATGGCCCCTCATCAATGACTCTTTGCACATCCGTTATATGATGAAAACAAATAGAAACAACCCGGTTGTATCTCAGAAGCCTGAACTCCACTTACCGGTTGCCAAACGGATGCCATAACTTGACTCATAAACTCAAGCTTAACAAGCTTCCTCGTCAAGAAACGACCAACCACCCCCCACGACTCCTCCTCCACCGCGTCGTCCTACCCCCCGCCATTCTCCTCCTCCTGGGGCACGAACGCCGCCTCCACCTCCTCCAACACAAGGTCGGCCCATCTGGCCGTGATCCCTGCCACCGTCGCCGCACTAGTCGATGACGAAGCCATGCTCTCAGACGTACAGTAGCCTCGCAGCGTAGCCCTTCTCTGCTTGTTCGTGTAGTTGCTCGTGAACGCCGGTAAACTGCCGGAGAGAGACGTCAATTGAGCCGACCGAAACCCTAGAAAAAACCTAGGTAGAGAGAAAACTTACTCCGTACTAGTTAGTAAAATTTTATAAGACTTATTTTCATCTGATTCACACCAATAATTTATGTATTAAGAATGTTTTGTATTGAAAAATTAGACCGAAATTAAACAAATAAATTTATAATAGTATAAGTTAAAAGAGTTAATTCCATTTTCTGTCTTAGATTTATATGTGGCAATTCACATCTAGTCCTTTTTTTTATTAAAATATTCTCTTTTGGTCCTAGTATTATTGTGACATGACCAATTTTGGTTCTCTAACAACAAAATCGTTAAAATTTCATTAAATTGAAGGACATTTTGATCTTTTTAATACAAAGTGCGTTGACCCGTTATATGTTTTATGTTTTTTGAAATAATTCATAATTAAAGAGCGAAATACCCTTGTATTTAACAAAATTTCAACGTTTTTTTTATAAAGGACCAAAATTGGTCATGTCATAATAATACTAGGACCAAAAAATGATGTTCAGATAAAAAAAAAATGACTACAAGTGGATTGTTACCTATAAATTTAGGACAAAAAGTGAAATTAACTCTAAGTTAAAATTAGCTAATTGATTAAATAATTCAACATTCTAAACAAACTGTAACAAAAATAAACATGCGTTACTATAGTAGCAGAGTATATAGTAGTGGAGTTTACTCAATTCACACCTTCAAATATTAATTGTAAATAGGCATCTCTTGTCATCCAAACAAATTAACTAATTGATTAAATAATTCAACACCGCATTCAAACCATAGACAAAATGAAACATGACATGCATAATGTAGTGTAGAATATTATATAATAGTAAAATTTATCCAACTCATATCATCAAATAGTTACTACAAATTTCTCATATCAAAAAATTAACTAATTAATTAAATAATTCAATACTGCATTCAAACCGTAGCCAAAACGACACAAGTCATATATAACTGCGGTCAAGTATGCATGGCCCTCAAAGTCACACTCAATGTTAGAAACTTAGAATGCTCACCACCTTAGTCTTCGTCAACTACCACCTTGCCGCACGTTCAATTTGTGGTGGGTGTTTCGAGATTTCGGTTCGATTTTTCGGTTTCAGTTTCGATTTTAGTATTTTGATATTTAAAAAAATGATATCATTCGGTTTAACATTATAGTTTGGTTCGATTTTGGTTTGGTTTGAAAAAATTTGGTTTCGGTTCGATAATCCGTTCGGTTTAAGAACCCCAAATTTTAATACAAAGTATTTCTTAATTTTACAAACACACTACCAAACAATACTTATTCACATAGTCCAAATTCAAATTCTAAACATTATATAACAAAATAGTAATCCAAAGTTCAAATACACTACTAAGTACTAATTACCAAACATCAGTTTTTTTTTTTTTTTTTTTTTTTTGCACAACCAACTCTTCAGTTGTCTCACTTAGAATGTTTTATTGACAAGATGAAAAATCATCTATATGTATAGTTAATATTTGGAGAACAAGTGTCAAGTATTGTATAGTTAATTTTTGGACACAATCCATTATTGCTAGTGCACTGGAATATTATTTTCCAGTGAACTGGAAATATATTCCGGTACTAGAAAATAATTCCAGTGCACTAGAAATCAAAATTAGAATGATGTTAAAGCACATAAATTTTATAGAAGCATGAAACTAAGGAAAATACTGAATATTGTAAGAATAATCGAAGTTAGATATAATTATGAGGTAAAGAACAATTGCGGCAAACAACAAAAGTGCAAAGTAGAGAACAAGCCATAAAGAAATTAGACAAAAGTGCAAAGTAGAGAACAAGCCATAAAGAAATTAGATAAAAAATTTAAGAGAGATTCCAGTGAAAATAGGAACTGAATGGCAGAGCAAGCATAATGGACTTGGATATTACTTTTTTTTATTATTTTTAGGGAAAAGTGCATTTTTCGTCCCTAAGTTATAGGGTAATTGTAGGATTCGTCCCTAAGTGTTGTAAATACCCACTTTTCATCCCTAAGTTATAAGCTATGATGCAATTTTCGTCCTTTTTCTAACAGAGGTGTTAAGTGACTGTTTAATGTAAGGGTAATTCTGTCCAAACACATTTAGGCTCATTATTAATTTAATATTTCCCTAATTATACTCTTTCTCTAATTATACTCTTGTACTCTTGCGTAGACTGGGTCATTTCTTTTATCATTTTTTCATATTTTAAACATGCAAAATTTATGATGTTAAAAATTGTTTTTGAGATGCTCCGGCTTGTAAGTACACAAAAATTTTAAAACAACACTCAAGACTTTCTATAAATATAATATTGATTTCTTTCAATATATTGAAATGTTGGTAGTTTTCAACACAAAAGACTTTCAAAATTAAAGTGATTCACAAAAATCATTCCAGAACTTACCTATTAACTACTTAGCTTTTATTAAATATTGGTTGCATTACAAAAAATAAAAATAAAAAATTCAAGATCTAAGCAGCATTCAAAAAGCCTTCTAAACCTACATACTAATTGATGCTATAAAGCATCATCTTCATCAAGAAAGACCAAACAACATAAATGAACATCAATACTTTGTTAAGTGACATTCTATATAATAATAACAATAACAACAACATTTATTTAAATATAGAATGTCACTTAACATCAAATAAAAATTTTTGTCAATTACTTTGTTACCAAATTTGTTCATAATTAACTTATTTTCATTTTACTGGTTACCTGAATATTTCAAAACTTGAAAGATAAAGACAAAAATCAAGACGAATTAAATAATCAATATTAATTTTTATCAATTTCAAAACTAATCATTTAAACTAGCAAATGTACATCTTAAAAATGTAAATAAATAATTAAAACACACAATAAATCACTAATTAATTAATCAACATATATAACTAAAAAAAAATCAAAGCATATATCTCAAATTTGGAGATTTTTTTAGATTAAAATGTATACTTGATGCCATTCGTTATTAAAATCTTGATAAAAGAAGTAAGATAATAAAGAAAAATGATCACTTTAATTATTTGATTTATTTCTTTTTGTTTAATGAATTTGAACTTTAATATATATTTTGAGTTCATTTAATATAAACATAATATATATATATATATATATATATATATATATATATATATATATATATATATATATATATATATATATATATATATATATATAAATTAGAAGGGGGGTCAAAGTGTATTTTATCCCTACTATATCAATATATACATACATATTTACTAAAAAATTTAAGGTAAGGGTAGGGGTAGGGGTGAGGGTGGGGGGGGTCATGGCCCCCCTACCCCCTAATGTACCTCCGTCCCTGCCCATATATAATAGTTGTATGTATATATGTATATATAATACAAGTTTTAGTATTAGTATAAAGAAACAGATAAATGTTAACAAGAAGTGAGATAAATTAGTTGGCAGAGCTTGTGTTTAGTTATAGTGAAGGTCTAGAGTTTGAATCCTTTGTTAGCATTATCACAATTTTACAATTTTATTTTGGCTGGAACACAATCACATTGTTAATAACTTTTTTAATATTTAATAAAATACACACACACACACACACACACACATATATATATATATATATATATATATATATATATATATATATATATATATATATATATATATATATATATATAAAACATTCTTTTATATTAAAATGAGATGTGTAATTTATAATGTGTTCTTTATTCAAATTATTTTATCAAATTAATGATGTTTCATAGTTTGTTATGAATATTTTTAGTAAAATTTCTGTATTTTAGTTTTCTCGCATATCCAACAATATTTATAGTTATATTTCTTGGGTAATTTTTTATTTTTTTTTAAATTATCTCTCTTGTTTTAATATTTCTCTTCACTTGAAAAAATTGATGGATCCGTCCCTAGGTTTTCGCTCCCTCTTAACAAAATTTCTGACTCCGTCCCTGACTCCCTGTATATAGGTACCGCGATAGTTACTTCGACGACCAGATTACAGATCCGATTACAGGAGGAACCTATCGAGTTTGTGGTAAACAAACTGGCAGCAAACAAGATATTTTCAATGCGACAGCACAAAAACTACTAAATGAGCTTCTACTTGCAACGCCCAGAATTAATGGCTTTTACGCTGCAGCTAAGCTGCCGGAGGAACCTCCTGGTCCTGGTGGTGCTACCACCTATGCGGTGGCACAATGTGCTGAAACCGTGAGCGAAAGCAGCTGTCAAGATTGTTTGTCATTAGCTTACAATAACATAAAGGGTTGTTTACCTAATTCTGCGGATGGAAGAGCTGTGGATGCAGGATGTTTCTTGAGATATTCAGACACCCCTTTTTTTGCTGATAACCAGACAACTGACATAGCACCCTTCCTAGGAAGAGGTACGAACGTACTAGAATATGAAATGAAAGTTTTAATAATGTTGGAATTGAAGCATCATCTAACTGGTTGCATCTTCTCCAGGGAGTAGTTCAGGGAAGAAGAAACCTATTATTCTTGCGGCGGGTGTAGTTGGTAGTGTAGGAATCATTTTGGTATTAGCAGCCCTTTTCATATTGTATCGACAATCAGGAAAGCAAAATGCTTGGAGAAAAGGTGAATTGAAGCTCGTTTAGTGGCAGTCATCATATCCAATATTCATATTTAGGTATGTGTTAATTTATGGACTGTCATCTTTTATAGGTAATATTTTGGGGGCAAAGAGCTACATATATAAAGATTTGAAAGCAGCAACAAATGATTTCAGTGAAGAAAATATACTGGGAAAAGGAGGTTTTGGTGATGTATATAAGGTAAGTAACAATATTCACGAGGGCAGAATTGAAAGAATATATAAGCAAAGCCACCACTCTGATCTTCTATGACTAAACTGCAGGGCACCCTACAGAGCGGGGATGTGGTGGCAGTAAAGAAACTGACAACAATTTCTAGTAGAGCAAAGGCAAACTTCGAGACTGAAGTTAGTCTTATTACAAATGCGAATCATCCCAATCTCATTCGTCTATTGGGATATTCTGGCAATGCAAAGGTGCTCATACTGGTTTATGAATACATGCCAAACGCTAGCCTTGACAGATACATATATGGTACTCCCATCCTCAAACATTATATTGTATGTTATACAAATAAAACTTTTTAATTTCCATCACATTTTTCATGATTGAATTGGCAGGAGAGAAACGGGGAATGCTGAATTGGAAGCAAAGGGTTGATATAATATTGGGTACAGCTAGGGGTCTTGCCTATCTGCATGAACAATTTGATGTATGCATCATACACAGAGACATAAAATCTAGCAATATACTACTGGATGACGAATTCCAGCCCAAAATAGCTGATTTTGGTTTGGCAAGGCTTTTACCAGAAAATAAGAGTCATCTTACAACTAAATTTGCTGGGACTTTGTAAGCCTAACAACCTTATTTTGTTTTCCAGGTTAGTTTTCTTTTAATTTGCACTTAACTATTGCTCATTGCAACAGGGGATATACAGCGCCAGAATATGCAATTCATGGCCATTTATCAGAGAAAGTTGACATCTATAGTTTTGGCATTGTTATCTTGGAGATCATCAGTGGGCGACGGAGTAGTGACTTACAAGTTGAGCCTGTAACTGAGTATCTCCTAGAACAGGTAATTTCTTGTTAAAGAAGCAGCCAGTTTATCTTGATATATTATTCAACATTTGACTTCTATATATATGTATCATTTTATAATAAATACAGGCATGGAAATTGTACGAGAATGATGAACATCTAGGATTGGTGGACAATAATTTAGACCCAAATGAGTATGAAGCAGCGGAAGTGAAGAGAATGTTGGAAATAGCATTGGTGTGCACCCAATCACCCTCGAATATAAGGCCAAGCATGTCAGAACTGGTGGTCATGCTTTCAGTACAGCGGAAGTGAAGAGAATGTTGGAAATAGCATTGGTGTGCACCCAATCACCCTCGAATATAAGGCCAAGCATGTCAGAACTAGTGGTCATGCTTTCAAGTACTGATGCCTCAATCATTCAAAAACCTCAAAACAGGCCAACCACTATTACTGTTTCAATAAAAGGATACCTACAGTTACAAACACTTCAACACTTACTAATGCCACCATTTCATTTTCTCGTTTCTCAGGTCGCTAGTTATACCTATTTTGATCTTGCTAGCTTGCTTGTGAATTGTGATGTGTTTGTATTTATTTATTTATAAATTTTTTATCCATAAATAAATATAAATATGTACGTAGAACAAAATATAAGCATGTCTGTAAGTAAATGATTTTTTTACGTCACAAAAATAATTAAAAATTAAGACTTGTGAATACCTGATACCATGAGTTTCTCAAGATGCCTATTACATTCTCTGCAAAAGGAATAGTTCCCAATATTATTTTTGGAAATAAAAAAATCTAAACAAATAAATAAAATAAGTTTACAATACTTGTCATAATATTAAAGTGAGAAATTTTCAATTTTTGTCACATGACTATATGGGCTTTGTTAATTTTAGCACCTAACTTTCAAAAGTGTCAATTTAGTACCTAGAGTATGTAATTTTTGTAAATTTTGGTCACTCTGTCCAAATTTGACCGGAAAAATTTAGTCCAACATTTAGTCTATAATATGAGGGGCAAAATGGTCTTTTGATCCTTTCTCCTAATTGTTGTTGACCCGGTTCAACCTGAAAAAGAAGAAGAGTTGACGGAAGGCGCAGCGTCAACGCCGATCAAAAATCCTCTTCCCTTCGCTCGCTGTTCGCGAAGAAGAAGCGCGGCGACGAGGAAGGCAACGAGGAAAAGAGCGGCACGCCGCGCTCGACAACCTCAAATTCCACGCTCGACAAGAGCCGGAGCAATTCCGGCGGCGGCGGTGGCGAAGGTTCAAGCATTTTTCGAAACATAATCTCTTGCGGCACCATGGATACTAATGATTCAGCTGTTTTGGCGATGCAGCGGCGCCAGCCGCCATCCTCCGGCAGGCCGTTGTTGGATAATGACGCCAAAACGTCGGCGAAGAATGTAAACCGAAGAAGCTAAAGTCAAACCTGGTCAAATGTGTCTGAACCGGGTCAACAACAATTAGGAGTGTTGGTCCCAAAGGGGGTGAGGTAAAAGTCTAGAGGGGGGGGGGGTGTGAATAGACTTTTAAACATTTTCGCGAATACAACAATTGCTAAGGCAACAGAGATATCAAGACTCTTAACTAGATTGTTAGAGTCTTATACGCAGCGGAATAAATAAATACGAGTTGTGTGATTGTGTCAAGCATATCAACGTGATAAGCAGTAAGTAAATAAAGCAGTAAATGACACAAGGCAATTATAGTGGTTCGGAGGTGATGTAATCCCCCTACTCCACTTGCTCTTATCGTCCAAGAGCAATTCACTATATCCACCACTTTTTGGTTCCTAGATACAATGAATTTTTGTGATCTAGTGCTTTGATCACTAAGCCCACACTAATCACGCCCAGTGCTTCCAACATTGCTGCTTCGAATTTCACAGTTCCGTGCTACTTTCTAGGATTTCACAACTGCGTGCTACTTTCCCCCCGTCTTCCATGATCCGGTCGACGTATCCCGTGATCTGGTGCTTTGATCACCAAGCCCACATCAATCACGCCCAGTGCCTCCGACACTGCTGTTTCGGATTTCACAGCTCCGTGTGACAATCCAGGATTTCACAACTCCGTGCTACTTTTCCCCCGTCTTCGACGATCCCGTGATCTAGTGCTTTGATCACAAAGCCCGCACTAATCACGTCCAGTGTTCTCCAACACTGTTGATTCACTTGTTTGTAGAAAAACAAGTTTTCACTGACTTTCCAACTTTGAGACTTCTTGAATGGATCTTCAATATGCAGCAAATCTCTCAATGATGAAGAATTAAAACACTCTTGAATATTTTCTCTTTGAGCTCTTTGAGTGTTTTTCTCACTTAAATATATTCTCACTTTTGAGTATAGCACTTGCCCATATGTACTGCTTGTTGCTTGTGTTGGAAGTGCTTTCATCTGCTTCATTCTTCATCCTTTTATAGCTGGTTTTGAGAAGTTGTCCATTGGAAAAAGACAATCTCAAATTTTGAATTGTAGATCTCAAATTTGAATTCCAAATCTCAATTTTGAATTCTTGTAGCCTTTTGCAGAAGATCTGTAGCTTTCTCAGAAGATCATATTAAAAATAATATCTCTGATGTTTTGGCCGTTGCTTAGCTCTTGGTCCATGTGAAGAGACTTAAAATATTTCTGATGCAGATCTTGTCTTCACGTGAAGGCTTCTTAAAATAATTCTGGTGTAGATCAAGCCTTCTGGGACTTTCATCTTCTGTGTATTTTATTCTCTCTGTATGGCTACTGATGAAGTGTTTCGGTCAATGAGATCTCTTGATCTGGGTTTCATATTGATGGTGTGAATTCAATCCTTGATTGAAACTTCATCTCCAACTTTAGCTCTTACTATATATAGCTTGATGAGACTTCATCCCTAACTTCATCTCTTTGTAAACTGCATCTCTAACTTCATCTCCAATCTCAGCTCTTACTATATATAGCTTAATGAGATGAAAGCATCTCTAACTTCATCCTCTATTATTTAATTGATTTCGAAACTGCCTTTGAAACCTCTGCTCCAACTTAGTCTCGAAACCTCTCTTACTATATATAGCTTGATGAGACTTCATCTCTTTGTAAAGAGCATCTCTAACTTCATCTCCAATCTCTATCTTCTAACTTCATCCTCTATTATTTAATTGATTTCGAAACTGCCTTTGAAACCTCTGCTCCAACTTAGTCTCGAAACCTCTCTTACTATATATAGCTTGATGAGACTTCATCTCTAACTTCATCTCTTTGTAAAGAGCATCTCTAACTTCATCTCCAATCTCTATCTTCTAACTTCATCTCTTTGTAAACTGCATCTCTAACTTCATCTCCAATCTCGCATCTCTAACTTCATCTCCAATCTCTATCTTCTAACTTCATCTCTTTGTAAACTGCATCTTCTAACTTCATCTCTTTGTAAACTGCATCTATTTCGAAACTGCCTTTGAAACCTCTGCTCCAACTTAACTTAGTCTCGAAACCTCTCTTACTATATATTCGTTGATTTCGAAACTGCCTTTGAAACCTCTGCTCCAACTTAGTCTCGAAACCTCATTTCGAAACAATCTCTATTATTTAATTGCAGTTTCGCCTTTGTAAAAGGCCTTTGAAACCTCTGCTCCAACTTAACTTAGTCTCGAAACCTCTCTTACTATATATAGCTTGATGAGACTTCATCTCCAATCTCTATTATTTAATTGATTTCGTTGATTTCGAAACTTAGTCTCGAAACCTCATTTCGAAACAATCTCTATTATTTAATTGCAGTTTCGCCTTTGTAATCTGCCTCGAAACCTCATTTCGAAACAATCTCTATTATTTAATTGCAGTTTCGCCTTTGTAATCTGCCTTTGAAACCTCTGCTCCAACTTAACTTAGTCTTGAAACCTCTCTTACTATATATAGCTTGATGAGACTTCATCTCCAATCTCTATTATTTAATTGATTTCGAAACTGCGTTTGAAACCTCTGCTCCGGCTTCTTTATAAAATTACCAATCTCTATTATTTAATTGATTTCGAAACTGCCTTTGAAACCTCTGTTCCGGCTTCTTTACAAAATTATAGGGAGTGCGTTTTGAACATGAGACCTTGTGGCTTATACATCAAGCTTTCATCCATCTCGGCTGTACGAATTATTAATTATTATAGCATTCCTCTTGATGTACATCTTTCTTTCCATAGATGCTTGATCTTCAAGATATCTTCATGAATTTTGGTTTGCTTCTTGTTTCTTCGTATGAGATTCATCAGTATGACTTCTTCTTTGATTTGGGCGTGTTGGCTTATTTTAGTATACATATCATATGCATACATCTTCTTCTTCATATTTTTCTCTTTCTTCATAATTGTTAATTTTCCTTTCATGGTCTATGACACGCCTAGACTTAACAAATAAAATTGGGGATTCTAAAATACAAGGCATATCAAAAATAGCTTTGGAACTTCATCTCTTACTATTTATAGCTTGATGAGACTTCACGAAACTGCCTTTGAAACCTCTGCTCCAACTTAGTCTATTCCTTTTCAAACCTCAGCTCTCCTACTTTATCTATCTGCCGTTGAAACCTCAGCTCCTACTTCATCTCTTGGAACTAATTTAAGCTTTCATCCATCTCGGCTGTATGGATTATTGGTTATTATAGCATTCCTCTTGATGTACTTCTTTCTTTCCATAGATGCTTGATCTTCAAGATATCTTCATGAATTTTGGTTTGCTTCTTGTTTCTTCGTATGAGATTCATCAGTATGACTTCTTCTTTGATTTGAGCATGTGGGCTTATTTTAGTATACATATCATATGCATACATCTTCTTCTTCGTATTTTTCCCTTTCTTCATAATTGTTAATTTTCCTTTCATGGTCTATGACACGCCTAAACTTAACAAATAAAATTAGGGGATTCTAAAATACAATTTGGCATATCAAAAACTATTACAATATATTCCTAACAAGGAGAAAGGATCAAAAGACCATTTTGCCCCTCGGATTATAGACTAAATGTTGGATTAAATTTTTTCGGCCAAATTTGGCTGGAGTGACCAAAATTTACAAAAATTACATACTCAAGGTACTAAATTGACATTTTTAAAAGTTAAGTGCTGAAATTAACAAAACCCCTATAATCATATGATCAAAATTAAAATTTTCTCTATTAAATTAATCGTATTCAAACAGGAGAAGAGCTTGCGAATGGAAAATGTTGGGGAAAAGGAAGAGTAAATTTCAATTTTGGTCCTATGACTATTAAGGTCTTGTTAATTTCAATCCATGACTTTAAAAACTAACAATTTAGTATCTTAACTATGCAAATTTTAACAGATTTGGTCCATCCGGCCAAATCGTCGGTCAATTGTCGTCGGAATCTTTTAATTCATTTTTATTTGTTTAATTAAGGGGGGCAATACAATCATTCCTGGTGGAAAAAAAAAAAAAAAGCAGAAAATAGAGAACGCCGGAGAATTCCTCGTCGGCCATACAAAGCTTCTCTGCGTATGTTTTCCCCGTTCATCTTCCCCATCTCCGTTCGTCTTCCCCATAATATTGCTAATTTCATAATAATGAGTGAAGAGAAAGAAAAATCAATTGTTGTGAATAAATAGTTGCTTTGCCAAAGAATTTGTTTGTTGCTGCTAGAATTAATCCTCAGCTGTGTTGTATTTAATTTGCCACCCAAACAAAGATACTGCCTG